TGGAAAGAGCAATGAATTGTTAAAAGATTGTTATGGTATGCAAAAGTATCTCTCAACCTTTACTATTCTTGCAGGACAAGTGAGTGAAAAGTTCTTCAATCCTGCCTATGCATCAAAACAATCTGAAGAAGCATTCGCAGAATTGCTAACATTATTTAATATGTGTGATATGGTTTATGATAAGTTTAGAGACTTTCTTTTCACTCTTGTTGATTTAACAGCTGTTCCTTCCATTACAATTTCGATACTCTCTGCTATTATTTCAATTTTGTTAATGTTAACACTGCAATACTTGTTATTCCATAGCTTACAAACCTATGACAATGAAATTACCAATATGAAATCGTTCTTGAATTATCTATCTACTGACTTTTTAGAATCAAATGACAATTTCAAGAATTTTGCACTTTATAACACCATGGGAGGTTCGCTTGCCAGTAAATTCAGAAAAGAAACAAACAGCTCCACGAGCCAGGATTCTTATAAGGAGTTTATAACTAGCATGATTGATGGAGCATTATTAGCAAACGAAAATGGAGAAATTATTGTTTTTAATGAGCCTGCTCAAAATATGTTTGGCAAGTCAATTTCTGATGTCATTGGAACTCATTTTAGCAAATTATTCAGCGATGAATCAAACCCAGCATTGGAAAAGATAATCAAGATGATAGGTGAATTGAAAAATGAAGAAGCAGCCAAACATGGAGATGTTATTGAATTGGAGTGTGTTAGAAAGAATCTTACTAAATTCCCAGCTGTTGTCACTATATTTGTGTCGCAAATATCAGGAATGAAAGGTAATTCATCCAGCTCCATGGTGATTTCATGTATTATGAGAGACATTACATCTGAGCGAAAGCAAAATTCACTTCTAGCGGAGGAGAAGAAAAATTCTGAAAATTTATTGAGAAATATCTTGCCAGATGCTGTTGCAAGTAAGTTGAAATCAGGTGAGACATTTATTGCTGAGAGATTCAGTGATATTACTTGTTTCTTTAGTGATATGGTTGGTTTTACAAAAATGTCAAGTGGAATGAATCCAAGTGAATTGGTTTTAATGTTGTCATCAATTGTGAATGGATTTGATGATTTGACAGATGTTTATTCATTGGAAAAGATCAAGACAATTGGTGATGCTTATTTTTGTGTTGGAGGTTTACATAATAATCCACAATCTGATCATCCTGAGAGAACATTGAGATTTGCAATTGATACATTCCAAGTGATTAGAAATTACAATATTGAACATCCTCAAAATCAATTGAATATTCGAGTTGGAATCAATACAGGATCAGTTGTTGCTGGTGTGATTGGAAAGAAAAA